AAATGAATTGTTTTCGAATCAGAATGCACTGAGGACAACCCGTGTGAGGGATTGAGCAGACATGCTACATTTCAGAACTTTGGCATGGCGTTCCTCACTCTATTCCGCGTTTCCACCGGAGACAACTGGAATGGAATCATGAAGGTATTTTGCAAACCATGAAACTATTCATGCATGTCATAAATACCTGTTTATGGAATGCTGATATTTAATGTTAGCTCTTAATTAGACTTACACTCACCCTCGTGTCATTCCAGATGTTTAAGAGTGAGGCTATTAGCTGTCATGCCACACACAGTAAATGATCAGGTCTTGTCACTTTTTGAGCTTGGCAGAACTCACAATTTCTGTGTTTGTGTGTGTGTGTGTGTGTGTGTTTAGGATACCCTGCGGGAATGTAAAAATGACAGATGTCTGAGTTACCTGCCGCTTTTGTCGCCTCTGTACTTTGTGACATTCGTGCTAGTGGCACAGTTTGTGCTGGTGAATGTTGTGGTCGCTGTGCTCATGAAACATTTAGAGGAGAGTAACAAAGACGCCCGTGAGGAGGCCGAGATGGAGGCGGAGTTGAAGGAAGAGCTTCATGGCATTCGTAGACAAAGCACCGCCTCTGTGGGCGGAGCCATCGGGCTTGAGGGTACAGCTGTTCAAATGGAGACTCTCTCACATGAACAGGTCAGTTCTGTACATTCTTTTATAATTCTTCTATACATAAAGCCACTGTACTCTTGAAAATATTATATCAAGGAACCCCCTCCCCATATATTTAATCGATGTTATTAGAGTAATGCTAAATGTATTTTAGCAATGTTTACGATTAGAGAAAAAAAGTTTACTGTATTTAAAAACTCTAAAGTGAAATTGATTAGAAAAGGCTAAATGGTCTTAAAATATAACCTCACATTTGATGTGAAAAATTACCACCCTTGGAAAAGAAATTACGAAAACAACAGAGAATTTATTGAGGGTACAATCTACAAATCAGCCACAACAAAATAGTCTTTGATAGTTTTTAATATATATGCCAGAAAATGCTCTTATAAACCACTAGGGAATACACAGCCCTGTATAGGGCTATACAGGTATCTAGTGGTTACACTATGGTATTAAATATGATTTTCTTTATTTCTCCCACCGGATGCCACTAATCTGCCTTCCATGCATTAAATTTAAAATGTAAATTTTTGGCGGAAATATCCCTTTTAAATAACTTTTTTTATATTTTTAAAATAATTTTTCTTTATTTGCATAATTTTATATAGGAATTTTTTTTTGCATAATTTAGAGGTCAATATTGTCTAGGACCATGAAATCCCCTTAAAATACAAAATGTTAAAGAATAAATATCATTGAAACAAAATAAATTATATTCACTTAATACCAGAGGGTTCAAAATAAATCTGTAGTTAAGGTTTAAAATCAACATGTTCAATTTTAAAGTGGTCCAGTCTATTTTTTATTGGCGTACAGGACAGATTATGTATTATATTAAATAAAAAATATATTGAATATGTTATTTAAATAATAATAATAACAATATTTTTGCAGGGTTTTTAATATGGATATGCAGGGGGAAACATAACCGTTAAAGCACATAATATAGATTTGTTGTGTTCACAGGGCCAAGACTCCAGTTACGGCAACTTCCTGACAGTTAGTAGGCCGTCTATATCACGGATGCTGTCCTTACCTAGTGACAGTTACATGGTCTATCCTGTTAAGCCTATATATGGGTCCATTCATGAGAGAGTCTCCAAACAGGACTCCACACTGCCAGGTGACAAAACCAAACCAGTTCTTACTAGTCATGGCACACGTGCAGAGAGAGAATATGACTAAAGCTGTTTGTGTATTCTTCAGGCTCCTCTCTCTCACTCGGCACCCAGCCCTGTGAAGATAGTGCCGTAATGCAGGTTCCAGGAACTGCATCTCAGACAAACCTGGCTGCCGCTCCTGCTCCCCATCCTCTAAATCAAAGAGCAAGATCTAGCAATGCCTTCAGAGCCCTGCGGAGACAGGTACTGCAGCGACTCTCATCCTCATGACTGTTTTATATTAGGGATGATAATGGATTAAATTGAATAGACAATTACATAAAATGTAATCTCATGATCTTTGTCACTAATGAAATGCAAAAATTGTGACACTGATCATGTGAACATTTGTCCAAATGTCAGATGTTCTCGCTTCCATTGTATCCTTCTCAAATAATGCTGAGAACATGATCATCAGATTTTACACAGATTTGTTAAGTTTATGCTGCTGTCAAAAAAAATCAGTCTATCTGTCTGTCTGTCTGTCTGTCTATCTATCATCTTTTAACTTAACATTTATATGTACATTTACATTTATTTAAATTATTATTTAAAGTATTATAAATACTTAATATTTTAATACATATAACATTTTATATGATTAAATTTATTACATTTGCAGTACATCTATTTATTACATAAAATGTTGTTATTATTATTATCTAAATTAATACAAAATAATATGATAGTCATTTTGTTTAAATTTGCATTAAATCTATTTAAAATATTTAATCTATAAAGTAAATATAAATTATAAAATACAAAATATAAAAAAATAATTACAAATATTAAATTATGAAACATTTTATTAAAAATCAATATATATCATTTCAATATTTGATGTAAATATGTGACCCTGGAGCACAAAAGCAGTCTTAAGTCGCTGGG